TTTTTATTTTTATTTTTATTTTTATTTTTATTTTTATTTTATTTATTTTTTTGCTTGATTTAATTTAACTTAATAACTTAATACTTTTTGCCCTTTAAGCTGCTGGTAACCTTAATTTCCTGAGGGAGTCTTCCCAAGGGATCAATAAAGTACCGTCTAAGTCTAAGTCTAAGTCTAAGTCTATTTTCTCCACCTCTGGAGTCAGAATCAAAGACTTATGTTACAAAGTATGACATAAACTTCAATTTAAGTGAGCTTAGGTACATTCTGCAACGAAAACGAGACATTACTGTGTGAAAAAATTGTTTGCTTGAGGGGGAAAAAAAGAGAAATATTAGTCTAAATACAATTAATGAATGTTTAATCTATAGATAATTATAATTAGATGTCCCTGCATTACACGTAAAAATAGCTTTTTCTATTCAACATCTTAAATATCAACAAGACAGTCAAAAGAGTATGATTTCTGTACAACAACAATATCTTGGCAAAGGCTGAACAATGATCAATAACCTTGTAAATATGTCTTCAATATCCACATTCAACAGGATAAATATTGACATCAGATGACCGATAACTCAGATGAATTAGCATTTGAAGCTATTTCTTTGCATAAAACACAGGACGTGACTCTGGATATGATTCTGCTACCCAATAGAGGACATTAAAAAAAAAACGAACCTGTAGTTTTTCACGTGGTCCTCTATCAGGTTCAGCCCCACGCAGTGGTTCAGCGCCATGTTGTAGGAGCCGGCCTGGACCGAGGAGCCCCAGTTGACCGCTGGACACAGGAGAGAGGGTGAGCACAGCGGCAGGCTTTTAGTTCCCCCCACCACCTGTGGATTTACCTGGCTTCTTGTAGAGTGTGTATCCCAGAAAGAATATAACAACGCCGATAGCGATGAGGGCCGCCCACCAGGTCAGCAGGAACATGATGACCACACAGATCGCCGCACAAAGCAGGGACAGCCACTTACTGTAGAACCTGAACGACGGACGCCAACCTGCACACACACACACACACACACACACACACACACACACACACACACACACACACATAAGGGTGAACATATACCCACCGAATAATTCTCACTGTGTAATCACCAGTTTAATCTGTACTTAGCGAAATATGCTCTGACCAGATCTGACTGACCCATTTGTGTCTTTGAGGCCTAACAACTACATAGGTAATTATTGTTGTTATAATAATTTCAGTTATTGTTATAATTGGAGTTGTCATAAAAGAAACAACGTCTGTTTATGACGTTGTAACGACTGGAGAAATAATAGGAGGAATTCATTGGGAAATTTCCCAAAGAGCTCAAAACCCCTAAGGAAAAATGACAGCAGTAAAAGGATGATGTGTTTATCCGCTGTCTGTCTTTTGGAGAAACAAATGCTTTACCCGGTGAGTTGGTGATGGACGCGTGGAAGCAGCTGAAGTTGATCAGAGCGTAGGAGCAGAGGTAAAAGTTGGAGATGATCGGAGCGATGGTGTTCAGCTCAGCTGGCAGAGAACAATAAACAATAAAGCAGTCAACCAATCACATCTATTCACGTTCATACGGCATGTTTCCTCTTACTAATTAGCAGCAAAAACAACTAGTTTTAGCTATTTCTAAATTCTTTGGGAGAGAGGATTTATCGTTTAGGCTACGTTCCCTGTGATGAACATCTGTCTGACATGTTCGGGACCAGGGACAGAACATTAAACATCTGGTTCCGATAGAATGGATCTCTTCTAAAGATTGTTAATGCTGATGTTGTGTCCATGTGAATCAGGTGTGTCGAAGCAGGGTTAGGGTTAGGGTTAGGGTTAGGGTTAGGGTTAGGGTTAGGGTTTGTCCAAAAAGCCGGGACCCCTCACGCATTACTTGCAGAGGTGTAATTTCCCCTTTTTTGTCAAATAAAAGGGTGCAGATCTAATAGAAACAACTAGAAGTTGGTAAATAAGCCTCAGCCATTTCCATTTTTCTCTATAAAGCTTTACCAATTATGATGAAGCAGGCAGCTATGATGTATGTCAGAAGATAGGCTCGGAGAGGTTCGTGGTTTTTGCCATAGCCTTTTCCAAAGAAGCCAATGACGGGGTAGAGATGGTCCTTACAGAGGCACTGTGAGGACAGAATGATGTAAAGCAGAAAAGCGGAGAGGAGTCTTTTAGAGAGTGGACACATTGTTTTATTCCCAGCCGTCTGAGTGGGTCGGCGTGTACCTGAAAGACTTTGGGAGCGGACACCAGGCAGGCCAAAGCGGAGGACAAGGTGGCTCCGAATATTCCGGCGGTGATCAGCGGGGCGAAGGCCGACACCATGCCCAGCGTCTGGAGTCAGGATTCAGGATTCAGGCATTAGGGCTCACCAGATAATCACGCTCCACTCTAAACTAACTATCAAGCCAAAACACTGGTTTTCACCTTGTTTCACTTTCTCGGTTTTGTTCTTTAAAAAAGCTCTGAAAGTTGTAAAAGTCATTTTCAAAAAGCAATATGGAAATGGCTATTTTCTCGCATCACCCTCTAATAATTACCCCAAAACATGCCAGTCCAAGACATTTTACAAACAGGCAGATGTCCTCAGATTTACATAGTTTGTCAGTTAAGCACCAGACGGACTTTGATTACATTTAAATGTCCTTTTGTTCCCCCATAACATGCTTCTTTTTAATCCCTTCAGTAGACACCCCAATAAAAAAACCCACAATAACATAGATAATGAAGGTGAGATGCACAAATAGGTGGGGTTTGTGTTAACCTGATAGTAGTTGTTGAGGCCGTAGGGGCAGGTTTTGTTGTTGATGCACTCGGTGAAGTCCCACCCAAACTGACACGAAACGCCATCGCAGTCCGCAGCGGACGGCGAGGAGGACAGGGTGTCGTTTATGACGCCAGATGCGTCTCGCACCACACAGGATCCTGTTGAACAAAAAACACACAAACAGATGCTTTAAAGCTCTACAGTTTGAAACACACAGAACAGATAGATAAGAGGGTTAATGGGTATAATAATACTAATAATACTAAGTAATTGCAGGCACATCTCAGGAGTCTTCAAAGAGTCATTTATAATAAATGACACCACAGCTATGGACCATGCTGAAGATAAACATGGTCTTGATTGAAAATGTAATGGGTTTAAACGAGAATCAGTCTTTGGACAGCTTTGAAAAGTGTTATCAAGTCACATTATCTAAATAAATGATGAAAATAAAGTCAGAAAATCCAAAAATATCCATTTACTGAAAGGATAAAAGAGACATGGAATGTAACTAGTGGATCCAGATGAATGAGATAATGATTTATTTATTCATTTGCTGCGATCTGCCTGTTTTCTGTGGCAAGTACATGAAAACTACATCCAGATTTTGAGAAGTGGCGTGAGCGTTACCGACGGTTGCAGTGATGATGATGTAGGATATTGTGGTCCAGAATATTGCCATCAGCGTCCCTCGAGGGATAGCCACTGCTGGATTCTGGAGTGGACAAAAGACATAAACATGACGCGCTTCAGCTACAGGGCTATATATTAATAACATGGCTAATCGGTTTTTGGATTGCAGGCCAGTTTGTGTATGCACACATGGGCGAACCTTGAGGTCTCCGGAGATGTTTGCTCCCGCCAAGATGCCCGTAGCGGAGGGGAAGAAAATGGAGAACATGCCAAAGAAGCTGCCCTCCGGCCCCCGCCAGCTGGGCACAAAGTTGGTGGCAAAGATATCCGCTGGTAAAAGTTAAAGTCAGTTTACTGGTGAGCGTTGACAAGCAGAGATTCATTAGCTGAGACAATTTAGAAATTCAAGACTATTTTCAATGTAAAAATCCCACATGCACCACCAACTTTTTTATCTTAATCTTAATTTATCTCATGAATGAACCGATAATCAGCGGAAACTACAACTGATAAAGATGAGGAGTTACCCTTGTAGCCAAAGAAACCTTTGGCTTGTTTCTCGGTCGAGGCGGGCATGATTGTTCCAACGATGTAGCTGGCAAACGACACCATGATGACCACGAAGAAGAGGATCTGGGCCTGTGAAAGTTCACAACGTGGACAGCTTCACTCTTTTTCTTTCACGTAAGATTTAAAATTCTGACCACTTGTCGCTTCTTAATACTGCAGCGGGGTAACGGCCTCATGTGAATTGTAACCTTTGACTCCCACGCCATGCCGGCCATGGAGATGGCGAGCAGACAGGTGACGGTGATGATGCCGATGATGCGGATGTCGTTGGTTCGGTCCACCATCGCGGCGCCGTGTTCCTGAGAAGATTGTACAGTAGGTTGGAGATAGTGCCAGATGTTGTTCACTGTTGGTCTGTTCAGTTTCATTGGCGTTTCCTACTCGCATGAGGTCCGTGACCGTTTCGGCGAAGCCCACAGTGTGCATGGCCACCGCCACCGCGTTGGCAAAGGCGAAGATCAGCCCAATGGAGCCCCCCAGCTCGGGCCCCAGGCTGCGGCTGATCAGGAAGTAGGTTCCACCTGAGGAGCACAAAAGCAGCCGCTGTTTTACGGCTCACCGGCGGGGGGGAAAAAAAGTGAACAAACCTCCTTTGACTTTGCCGTTGGTGGCTATGGCGGAGGTTGACAGACCGGTGATCCCAGTTATACAAGAGGAGAGCAGAACGATCACCCAGGTCAGACCTGGCCCAGAGGAAAGCTGTCAGGCTGAAGCTTAATGTGAGGTATCGTGCATACTTCCTGATTTAAAGCGTTGTCGGACACACCTATACCAGCTTGAGATGTGATCCAAGGCAGCCTCAGGTAGAGGATCACTCCCCAGATGTTCAACATGCAGCGGATCTGCACAGGTGAGAAAAAGGTGTGAAACCCACTTAAAAATGAAATTAAAAATAGCAATTTTTTTTAGACCAATTTTCATTATTTTGCATATATATGTGTATATATATATATATATATATATATATATACAAATACTTTCTATATGTAAATACAATATATACACAATAATGAAAATAAAATACAATATTTATATAATATATATATTTACACACACACATATATGTTCTTTTCATATGCATTCTTCATTCTATTTCCATTTGTTATCAATGTGTCCACTTTGTGCTGCAATATGAAGTGCTTCATAAATAAAAATGAAATGATTGAAAACTACATCAACTTAATCATTCATGACACATTATGGTAACAGGGGACAAGTTCAAGTAACGAGTACATTTAATGTTCTGGGGTTTATTCACATAGAGATTAATCCTCAGTTTACTTAAGGTGTGGTACAAATGACTCTAACTAACCTGAAGTTAGAGATGTTTTCCTACTGGGACATTTAAGGTGGAACTAGTTAGCAGAAAAACAGATTAGTTCCAGTTCTTGGCAGTGTAAAACACATTGTAATAGTTTTAAGTTAATAAGTACTAGACCTTTTTCCAGTTATTATATTGTCAATACCAGCCCTTACTGAGAACAGATGTTGTATATTTTGTGAATCACACTCATCATTTGTGCCTTGTTAAATGTCAAAGCTCCCATAAATGCACCTGAGAACGTTCTGCACGTAGTATCCCCTAAATTATTCAATAATGTGGGGTTTTATGACATGTTTAAATGTTAATCTCAAACACCAGAAAAACAAATATAAAGGCAGCATCTTTATCATCTACCCGCTTGCTTGATTATAATAATTTGTGCATGTTTTGATACAATTATGTTTGGTAAAATCTGTACCTGAAGTGTGAATCTAAAGGTTGTACCCTTCAGTCACCTGATTAGGAGTAGAAACTCAAAAAGATTAAGCAGTCTTTTTTTGGCTTTGAGGATGATTGTGAAAGTCCAATTAGGACTGAGACTTTATCACCTTCATATAGCTAAATCTGAAAAATAGAGTCACACTAAGATCTATGTTCATGCATTTTCTACCAATAAGACCTATCTTTAAATTCGGAACATATATATCCATGCAGGAGTCCCAGAAAACTCAAATCCTCTGCTCTACCCACCATGACTCCCTGTATCCAGCCAAAGCGAGTGGGTTCGAATGGTGGTTCCTTTAGCTCATCCTCCTCTTCCTCAGAACTGTCGTCTCTTTCCACCCGTCCATCTGTTGTCTCCTCATACACGGGAGGTCTGCAGTCAACCTGGTTAAATGGAGCTTTGTTACATATTTTGATGTGATCCACAAGGTAACCAGTTAATTCTGATCCGTACAGATTTTACTCTGCAGTCACCTCTTTAGACGCAATTGCTCTTTGAAATTAGTTTAATAGTAATTTTAAATGATGAGTTAATAGACATGATGAATCTGGTCCAATATAAAGAGCTGTTACAAGGGGATAAAAAGCATACAAAGTTTAATCGAATTGTAGTTCAGTTTCTGGGCTGTGATACTTAGCTTGTTTAGACAAGGCAAGTTTATTTGTATAGCACATTTCTTGTACAAGACAATTCATAGTGCTTGACAAAGAATTTTAAAGCAGAAAAACAAAGAAAGAAAAAGAATTAACAAAATAAATTATATAGAAAAAAGGGAAGGGTGAAGATAAAATACAGTGGGGGAAATAAGTATTTGACCCCTTGCTGATTTTGCAGGTTTGCCCACTTACAAAAAATTGCTTATTTTTCCTCATCAGATGGTTATCAATTTTTATAAATTCATACGATGTGATTTTCTGGAATTTTCTTTGGGATTCTGTCTTTCACTGTTAGAATGTACATATGATTAAAGTTGATTAAAGTTATAGACTGTTCATTTCCCCCACTGTATATTCAATTTCCATATTCACAGTTAAATAGAAGCGTTTTCAGCCTGGATTTAAAAAGAGTTATCAGAGTTGGGGCCTAATATGTTTTTTACATTATGGTCTTTTGTATATGTACACACAGTATGTGTTTTATTTAAAGTTTTTTTATTTTTTCCAATGATATTAGTTCAAAGCTAAATTTGATCCATCACTCTTTTCATGTTGAAAATGGAAACGTCCAGAGCTGAGGAAGAGAAGAACCCCCCTCACCTCGGGGCTGGCGTGCAGCTGGTACAGGGAGGGTCTGAGGCGCCGCCGCCGGCCCCAGGCCTCCGTGTTGGCGTAGAAGTCGTAGTGCGGCGGGGCGTCCAGCGTCTCGTAACCGGTCAGAGCCGCGGACGCCCGGGAGGTCACACTGCTGCCATCCCCGAAACACGGGTAGAAGTCAGAGCCATCCGAAGTTGTCCTTCCATTGGCCGCCGGCAGCCGAAAGCCGGGGCTGTTTGCAGCACTGTCAATGGCCACTGCAGGCAGCTCCATCCAGAGGAGAGTTTGGTCAGAAATCAGGGAAGGGAGGAAGCTGATTGTTGCTTTATTGCTAAAATGAGTAGTTTCTGTCTTCCGTGGCAGTCAGAGAGAGAGTACCTGAGCCAGGCTGACGTTTGACGCGACTGAGGGAGGTTTTATTGCTCGGTTCGACTTTATAGTTAACCTCAACAATGCAGGAAAAGCCCCGAAGCCATACAAGATTTTCACTAGTTCAGTGAACAATTAAACAAGACTCATTACAGGAACCGGTAGGCTCGACATGGACAATTTCTCAGTGCAGGGTCAGCCCAAGAAATCACTTTAAAGAGTGCTAGGCCAGGAAATAGACTGTCCCATCTGGTTAGATACAACCTTTGATTCCCCCCTAAACCTCCCAAAATGATTAAATCAATGACAAATCCTCAACTTTGTATTTATTTTTTGTTTTTACTCTTTTAGATTGATATCATATGCTGTTTTTTAATTAATGATTAAACCGCTGAGGGTATTTTTGGTCAGGATATAACTTGTTAACAGCATCATTACACAAACTTATCACCCTTAACATTAACCTTGATATGACAACACGAGACTTTCAGCAGAGAATGAAAGAGTTTTTGCTCTTCTAAATCTTATTATATTTCGATCACTTTACAATAATTGGGTGCTCTGAAAGAAACAATATTTCTATGATAAAAATGTGGTGAATGATAACACAATTTAATTGTCATCAGCTGAAACAACAGGCGAGTGATAAAAAGAGAAAAAACATTTGGTTTAAAATGTAACTTACAGTTACATCATAATCACGAGAAAAACTAATTTAGTAAAACATTAAAAAAAGATTATTTAAAGGGATTATTCAGAAAATTCCAACTTCATAGTATTTACTGTGAACCCTGATGATGCGTTCATTTTTGTAATGTAAAAAAACACATCTTATGTTGCCAGTGTCACAGGGTCGGATAATGTTTTCAAGTTCTTATTCTTATTTCATGTAACCGAGCCAACATTTGCAAAGATCCTAAACAGTATATGTTGGTGTGGTGATCCAGGTCACGCTAATGATCAGAATCAAATTTAAAAAAGACCCTTTTCAGAATATCTAAGTATACTTGGCTTTGAGTTTTACTTTTGAAAATTGAGATTATTTAGCATTCTTTTCACACACTGAATCCTTTGAGCTCAGGCTGGAGCAGGTATTTCAAACTCCAGTCCCCCGAGGGCTGACGTCCTACAAATGAGTCGAATCAATACAGATCTGCAGAAGTGAACTCTTCTGAGGAGATCTATTTGATCAAAACCAGGTGGGATGAAGCAGAGGAAGATCTAAAACCTACTGTACAGGACAGTGTCAGTGAAAATACTGAGTGAAACTAAACCTGAACCTGAATATCATGTTAACTTTACAGTGGATTGGCCTCCGATGAACTTCACGTTTTACTTGGCATTATGCTGGACCGGAGAGGCTGGATTTTACAAATAGCTGTTGTCACCACCGTTTTGAGAACCAGAGGAGGGACGGTCATCTGTTTCCAGGGCGGCGTGTGTGTTTGATTGTAAGCTACACCGTGTCCTCCATTAGACTGAAGGGTACGCTGTTCAGTGAAAGGTGAAGGCTCAGAACTTTGAACTTCTCCTTCAGTTTGCTGATGCCGTTAAATGATTAAGCGGGGACGTTTTGCCGGCAGCTGTCGAAAACCTTGAGTCTGAAAGTTAAAGCCTGAACAGGAACACTTGTTCAAATAAATAGAAATGTGTGCGTTCTTATACTCTGTGTGTTCTGCTCTGTTTAGTGCAAAACTTAGAGAAAGGCTGCCAAAACTCAAACTCTGTTGTCCACATTCTGTTGTACTCTAATTAAATACAGTAACAGCAAAGTACTAGCTTCCTGCCCATCCTTTAGGCACATTTTATCAGGGGTTCAACACTGTTTGCAAGGAGAATCCAAGGTAATTTATCTCACATTAGTGGAAAACTTCCGTGTACATATATCATTGACATTTTTATTGAATTGTACTTAATGCATCATCCCTGTCAGATGTATTTCCTTCTTCTCCAGATTTAGAGTCAGACCTGAGTCAGTAAGACTCCCACAGCATTATAAAGCATTTTGGATTGTACAATCCTTATCAATGATTTTTTTCTTGGCATAAATATTCAAATAAAAGCCCACATTTTCAGTTTCAAGCAAACGTTTTCTTTCAACACACAGGGCAACTCTAAGCCCTGACTCGGCCTCAGGGAGCAAATGCACAGCAGCCCAACTTAAAACAGAGTGCATGATAAAGGCTTTTCTCTATCGGCTCGCACTATGAAACTATGACAATACAGGCAGGGGATTACCCAGCCTTTCTAAAAACCAGTGAGCCAGTAGATTTAGGAATATTACATTATTTGGTAATTTAACTGGTTAGACATTTAGAAGCTCAATTTTCCATAAAAGTTCAAATGGATGAAAAAAAAAAAAAAAAGTACTGCAGAAATGTTGTGGTAAGGTGATTTTTTTAAAGCGCATTGTAAAGTACAAAGAAGTACAGATTAACAGTCAAAAGCCATTTAAGGTGAGGGGCCGCAAACACAGCCCCCTAACAAGTGTACAGCCGAATTGTTTGAAGGGATTTCTCCCCTCAGCTGACACAGGAAAGGTCTTTGATCACCATTTGAGAAAAAGCTTTTCAAAAACAAGGGAGACGTTCATGGCTCAGAAAACCAAAAGATTTCCGGCTTCAGACTTTATAAAAGGGATGCAAATTCGTGGCATTTCTCAATGCCAAGTATGGATTTGTGTACATTTTAGTTTGTAATAGATGAGTTTGGGTTAGATGTGCATCTGGTGATGTAGTTTGTGCACCATTTCAGACAGCGGCTACTTTTTGAGGACAAACCTGATCATAATCCAGATGGTTTTTGCACCATTTGACAATCCTGACAGCAGACACCAGCATAGACTTCAGAAATTTTTATTGAACAAAATGATAGTACATGATCTTCCCTCCAGTTCCTCGGTTTCAACTTAATAGCCTGTAAGGAAGAACATTTCTATCAATTTATTGACATTACACTGTTGTGATTTGTAAAATGTAAAAGTTAGAGAAACATGACTCACCTGTACCCAGTTCCACTGTGGCTGCTCTGCTGCCAGGCATGCAGACAAAGTAAACTTCAACATTAGTAGATTCATCCTGAGCAATCAACATATTCAATCTTCCACAAAGCTGCAGCATTTGTGGTTAGGGTTCCCACAAAGCCTGGTATTTGCATGTTTAGATGCATTCCACTGATGCTGAGCACAGGACAATGAACATTAGGATGACGACTATACTGCTGGACCTGGCAGGGAACACTGAAAGCAACAGTAAAACAAGTTTACCTTCACGATACAGTCCTTATGTAGAGGTCTTGATGGTTGGAAAGACCACAAAACCTCTAAGATGGGTACAGACTAAATAAGTGTTTGAGTCACTGGTAATTGAAGCACTGACCATGTTTTGATCATAATTAGTGAAGTGGATTCAGTTAAAGAGCTTGATAAGCAAGGTGCTTTTAAAGTAGTTCACAATTTGAACGAGCATCACTTGTAACTTGTAGGATGCTGCAGGTGCGTACCGCCCCCATGATACTGCCTTTGAGCAAATACATTTTGAAAAGGCTTGGAGCTAGGTTCCGAAACATACTGCTGCATTGGTGGAAGATAGACAACCCTTTCCTCTTCATATGGGGAATAATAATCCTCTGTTGGAAAGTGGTGAGTCTGCCTTTGTTTTTCCGGCATGTATGAACAGTCTGCGTCGTTCCTGCAAGGAATACGAAGGTGAGACTGAGGTCTGTTTTGGGAAGGTACTTTTAAAAGGTCTTTGAGGGAATCTTTTTTCATGGAGACTCTAGTCTGAAAGTTTAGAGGTATCTCTGCTGTCTTTTTTCCAGGCTGTCTGTCCTCATGTGTCAGCTTGGCAGCAATGTAGGTCTGTCCAGAATCATCGTCTCCACCTTCCAGGTCTATATAAAGTTGAGGTATTCTACGTTTTTCATCCAGCTGGCTCCCATCTTTGACTTTTCCAGAGAATCCATGTTGGTTTGGATACACAGATGAGGGAGCATCATAAGATGCTGGGTTCTGGACGTTGTGCTGATAAGGGAAAGAGGTGAGTTTCTGCCACTTTTGCATTCTTTCCGATTCGTAATTTGGCTTTGCTTCTTCCCAGCTGGGTTTACTGGATGATGGAGGTTCATATGGATTAAAAGGACCATAGTGGTGTCCCGTCTCTACACGTTGTGGTCGTGCTATGGAGGGACCCTCAGAACGTTGACCAGCAAAGGTCAGTGGAGAACCAACGTAAGGCTGAGCTAAACCTTGAACATAACGATTGCCAGTTGGTTTGGAATATGAAATTTCAGACTGAGGGGGATGATACTGGAGAGTTTGAGCTTTAGAACCTTGTTTGGGGGGGCTGGAATAGACATGGTAGACGTCAGCATGTTGAGGATATTCTTGGATGACCCATGGAGACTCTCGTACGCTTGGCTTTTGAAAACCCAATCTCTGTCTGCTGGGGGATTCATCCTCACTGACCTGTCGGGGGTTTGTAAACTGGCTTGGGTGCCGGGTTGAATAAGCAAGTGTCCCATCCGTGGGTTTTGGCCTAATGGGCTCTGGCCTAATGGGCTCAAAGGTCTGCTGCTGAATTTGTGCATGTCCATAACCAAGATTCAAAGCTGGCCATTTCTGTCCTGTCCAGTGGGTTCTTTCATAAGTAGGATCAGGATTTGAAGCCCAGTTTGGTGCAGTGTGGGTTGAACTTGACTGCTTTGTTGGCTCCACATGAGCATTCGCAGAACTAGTATGATGGGATTTAATGTTTGCTAAATTGCCATCATTCTTTTCTGTTAAGTCTTGTGATTTAGGTGGAAAAGGGACAGACAAGCTGAGTTGGAAGCTTTGCTTGGAAGTTTCAGGGTTTCTTCGTCCTCCATTTGAGTCCTCAGTAGAACCTTTGTTCAAAACATCAGAGTCAGGAGTGTTGTAACTGCTTTGGATCTGAACACCACTTGGTCTAGATTGAGAACGGACAGCATCTCTATCATCAAACAAGTCTCTACTTGGACCTCTGTGAAAATGCTGTGGAGACTGAAAACGATGTAGTTTTTCAGGGTCAGGTTGCACCATTTGATTTACATCATAAGCTTTTCTTGGGGAAGTCGTTTGACCTCTGAAAAAGTCAGTACTTTGAGGAGGGTTTGGAATAGGCAGGGGTGGATTTTTGGTCATCACTTGGTGTTTAGATCCCCAGACATGTTCAACAGGGGGTTTGTCCTGGTTAAGCCATTGGGGACTCATCTGTTGTCCAGAGTTCCAAGGTGAAAAGGCCAACGCTCCATCCACTGGTTTGGTGTAAATGTGCTCATAGGCTTGCTGCCGATTTGGTTTGGGTCGAAAATTAGCATTGCTTGATATGGGCCATTTTGATTCCATCTGTTGTTGCACTTGTGCACGTATAGCATCCTCTTGACTAAAGGGAGACCACCTCATTTCACTTTGTGTTGAAGCAGACAGCTTTGCTGGGTCGGTGTATCCGTTCTGACCAGATTTACTTTCCGTTATACGAGTCGAAGGCTTGGGAGGTGTATCCTGGGAGGGAAGGGAAAAGCTGAGTTTGAGGGTTGGGTTCGAAACTCCGTGGCCGTTTGTGCTCCCGTGTTGGCCTGTTGCTGACTCTTTTCCCCAAATATTAGAGCCGAGAAATTTTAGACCATTTTGGATGGGAGCAGAGTTGGTGTCATGATTTCCATGAGCAGAGCCTTTAGAATCCGAGTTAGTTTTATCATTTTGTCCCAGAAGATCATGCAAAGGAACATTCAAGAGGACCTCAAATCCCCTGGGTTTGAGAGATGGGTTTTTTGTCTGCAATGACATCTGTGTTGTTTTCACTCCATCTTCAGGCTGTATCTTTATCTTGGACTGCCGTAAAGCTCGAATATAGTGAAGAGGGCGGCGGGTCCCAAAGCCATTTGCCTGTTTCTTTTCTCCATCCTGCCGTGCTACGGAACATACAAAATAAGTTTTATAAAAAAAAGAAAATAAACAGTTTAATGCAAAAAAGCAATACAATGAACAGATCTTCAGTAACCTTGTTTTTCTAATGAGCAGGCTGTGTTACAGGCAGCTTTTCTATGCTTTTTATTGCACAACTGCAAAAAGTTGCATCACCACTGATGAGCTTTACCCACTTTAATCATTTTTAATCCAGACATTTACAAGGTTGAATATGATTTGCCTCCACGTAGACAGCAAAAGGCCAAATCCTAAAAAACAGCCATCGCAAAAGATGTGGAGGGATGCTTTTCATAACAAATCAGGGGATTTGATTGGTTTAAACTCAGGTTAATATTTTTGCTAATAATCAATATTAATTGCCAAACATTTTTTATAAGGTTACATTTACCTTTTTAAATAAATTGTAAGACAAGTTTAAGGCCAGTAAGAACATGGAAGAATTTTCTTAAGTCTGCAGAATTAGCAGAACTGCATTTAATAATTCTGATTGGTTTGGTGGCACTTTACAGCAGCTCTGCCCATATTAGAGTCAGGTCTATTTAAATCTTTAAGCATACAAACAAATGTATGCTTTGCAATCTATAGACAAAAAAATGTATGTTAGGTTTACCTGTTGGAACAGCTGAGGAATAGTTCAGTTCAATCAAGTACAAACAAAGCAGCAAAATTCTGTGAAGAAATTAGAGACAAAGTTAAACCAATTTTGATTAGAATCCCATAAAAACGACCCAGCCTTCTGTTCTTGCTTAAAGCAATCTGTATTAGAATGTAAATTCAGTACCTGGTGATCAGGAACCCAGCAGCCATGACTACTGCAGCTGCATTCAGCGTCGTCGCAAAACTTCCAGCTACAGCCGCTGAGCCGGACAGATCGCAGAGCTGCCCTGTCGAGTGTTAATCCAGACTATCTCCAGATGTACACTCACAAGTCACTCCAGCCAAAGACGCAGAATCCTCAGTGTCTAACCACCCATGGGTGGCTCTCAGGGGCTGTCTTTTAATGAGATGCTGCGAAGCTGTGGTGAAGGAGGAAAGAAACAGACGGAGGCTTCTCGTCACAGGTGTGGACGCTTACTGTGATTGCACTGAGACAGGAAGTGCTGTTCCCTGAATAGACGGGAAGGATTAATGCGATCCCAACTCCAGAGACCGTTCGTCCAAAACAATGGTACATCACATCAGAACACTTTGTTATGGCGGATACAGACAAAGTTGGTTTTATTTTATTTTTTTAATGTATGTGACTGCCATGGTTTTAGAAGCATTTTAATACAGTTAAGTAAAATGTGAACAACTTTCAAAAGTTTTGGCAGACTGCCCACAGTGTTTTTTTATATGTCTTTGACCAGTAGTAGGATTTTTTAAATGAACCAATAACAGCTTTAGAGTGCATTTACACATTGCTTTGGAGCTTTTAACCCCACACATGTTTTTTGCTGCAGGAAAAGAGCTGTAACACATATATTGATTTGTTTTTTCAGACAATATTTTACTCTCCTTGTTATTCAAAATGGACAAAGGGCCTCCCAAAACACACATAAAACCAACCGATTCAGTAGGAAGGAAGAGCTTTTCCCCCAAAACGACCCATGCATTATTTATCCATTTTGTCACAGTGTATTAATATTTTGGACATGACAGCTTTATTATACTCAGGGACATTTCTGTCAGCTAAAACAAGCTAGCATTAAAAAAAAAAAAAAAAAAAAAAAAAAAAAACTTGTTTAGATATATAAATTTACCTAGGTTTTGACAGCTGGTACCAAAATAAAAATGTATGAGACATTTAAAACATGTACACAAAAATTTATTTTGTGTAGAGTGGCCCAGTACCATGCTTATTTTTTTTGGCGCTTTCAGAAAACAGTTAAGCTTTTATCCAATTTTGGAGATATTTATTTAAAGAGCAAGACATTTCTGTAGGTTGAGCAGTCCCTTCAGAATCCATGATCAGTTAAGTTCTACAGATGCTGGTGCCAACTCAAACAGCCCAGCAGAGACTACAAAGCTACACGTCCACGTCCACACCCTGATACTAGCCCATTGAGTAAAGCACAGATTTTAAGCAACACCACAAGCAACAAGTTGAGATGATTTCTTTATTTCAAAACAGTATCAGTCCATTGAACTTTCACATTTTATACCTGTAATGCCAAGAGGAAGCAACATGGAGTTCGACAGAATGCCCTCAAGTTAGATTAGCCACGAGGCCAGTAAGGTCTACGGCGTCCATGATGCAGACGTGGAGGCCATTGTGGCCTATGGTGTGGTGGATGCTGGTGGCCGGGGCCCTGGTGGCCGGGATGTTGGTGGCCAGGGCCCTGGTAATGGTGGCCGGGACCCTGGTAATGGTGGCC